CGCGGCTCCGCAGGGCCCTGGGCCTGGGGGCAGCGCTTTAGGGCTGGCAGCAGTGCTGGGAGGCAGCGGCAGCAAAGGGAGCTCACACGGATCTGCTGCTGATCCATCTGCTGCTGCTCGGGTTGCCAGCGAACATCGACGCGACGCCTCTTGGTCCAGCCCGTGGAGCACCAACACTGCCATGTCCCTCTGGAAGTACTAGAGTGGCTCGATAGTGATGGAGCAGAGCTGGTTGAGCAAGGGCAAGCTTAACACACCACCCTGCTGGAGCTTGGCACCTAGGTCAGTACCCAGCCCTCCGCAGTAGCACGCAGTGTGCAGAGGAACCCTGGAGAGTGGAGGCCAAAGCTGAACAGCAAGGGTAATGAAATGCCATGTTAGCTCACCGAGGCCTGGAGTTGTGAGCTGCCATGCCAGGGAGGGCTTCTGAGCTCTGCCGTAGCGAGAGGGGGTGAGGATGTGTGTGCTGATCATTGGGAGCCTATTCCCACAGGCCTGGCAAGTGCTGGAATTGATGAACTGAAGACAGGACAGAAGTGCACAAAAAGCCCTTTCTTCAGTCTCCTCCAAAAGCCTCAACATAGGTTAACCAAGAAAAACAAACACCAGTTGGTGAAACTGCACTGCTGGACCTGATCCCAGGGCACAGACGTTAACCAAGTGAACAAGCAAGTCCTTCACGCAGTCCCACAGATGCAGCGAGTGACCATCCTGCAAGAACATGACAGACTACCCCGTCCTGAAGACAGGAGTACACAAGGCTCCAGTGAAAACTCACCGTACAGTTTAGCAGTGCCTAATTTAAGGTGTTTATGAGGACTTCAGTAGTACTGCCACTTGTACCAGTGCCACTTGTGCTCATCGCAGATGCGGAGAGGTGTATAGTAGCTATACACTTTCTCCTTTGCCTAGTTTTGCTCCTCTGGTAACTGTAAAAATGCAGAAACAATCAGTTGTTTCTGAGTATTGCTATGCCATAGGTACATCTCTCCCACTGGAACCAGTATGACACCCTATCCTTTCCACTGCTGTCTTCAATTTCAGGTCTGATGGAACCACGGCATCTTTTTTCATGCTGTTCCGTTTTCCCAGCATGAATCTGAAATCCTACCCTGTCTCCCAAGTGCTTTTCAGCTAGGTCCATCTGATAACACAAAAAACGTTCTGCCATTCTTTCTTGTTTGACAGTTCCTGCTGTTGCTCCTCAGAAGTCCTTACCTGTACCTTTTATATTTGCCATTCTTCCCAGAAACGCATAACATGGACTTACATGCTAGACCTGAACCACCTTTCCCAAACAGGCTGATTCTCTTTTTCTTTATTCATTCTTCCTCTTGCTGCCTCACTGCTCAGCAGGATCAGGAAAAAAAAAGAATTTCAGCAGAACACCTTTCTAAGCAAAGTGTTTCTCAGTGACCTAAAATGCAAAAAAGCAGCATACAGAAAGTTAAATCAAGGACAGGCAATAAAGGAGGCATTTGAAAACATTGCTCAGGCATGTAGGGGCAAGAAAGGCCAAGGACCATCTGGAGCCAAAACCATTTAGGGACATTAGATGTAACAATAAAGGAATATACTAGTATGCCAACTGCAAGAGGAAGTTTGGGGAAAGTCGTCGGTTTGTTAATCCATGAGAGATGGTGATATGGAGAAGGCTGAAGAGTTCACTGTCTTGTTTTCTATCAGTTTTCACAAAGTCTGCCCCAATTTCTGCACCTACTGGCAGTTTGGGAAGGAGAGAGGCACTTGGCAGTGGGGCAGTAACGGACTGGGAACTATGCAGAGAAGCTGAATGTGTTCAGCTCCATGGGGCCAGATGCGAGCAAGCCATGGGTGCTGAAATGCAGTCCCCGACATTGTGAGGACACAGTCTGCCATCCCTAAGAACGGTAGGGAGCTGGAGTGCCAGCGGGGTGTAGGGCTATTGCTCACTACTCCTTGGGCACATGGTCTACGCAGAGAGGCTATTTGGGTGACAGGTGTCCAGGGGACAAGCTTGAGGCTGCCTGCAGCTGCTTCGAGGGTGGCTACAAGACGGGGAAGCCAAGCTTATCAATAGCACACGGTGGTGCAAGGGGCCAATGGCGTGGGAGGCTCAGCTTGGGGCAGGTCTCCAGGGTATGTGTGTGGAATCTCCATCCTTTGGGATTTTCAGGACCTGCCTAGACAAAGTCACGGGTGTTCTAGCATTGGAGGCAGTCCTGCTTTGAGTGGATCTGGACTAGCTTCTAGCAAAGCCCCTTCCCAGCAACTCTTCTCTAGCTCCTTGATTTTCTGCTCTCCCTATGTACACACTTCTGTCCTTCTCTTGTGCAACTTATGGCCCTCTTCTTACTCAACACAGTAACCTGGCAGAAAGCTCCCGACCAGGAAATAGGGAGAAAAACCTTGATTTTCAAGAGCCTCCATTGATCAGACTGAATCCAGTCACATCACAGGACATCTGCCAGAAAACCCTTATCAATACCAAATTTCCCACAGGATGACCATCTCTCTACTTCCTTGCACTGTTCTGGAGCTGTTCTCTTCCTGCCTAAGGGCAAAACTCCTTAATTTCATACTGAAGTGATTTTACTACAGAGCCTGAACAAAGTTCCTGTACTACTGGATGCAAATCTTGCTGCTAAAGTCGGCTGGCCTCCAAGAAGCATCAACAGAAAAAGAAAGCAAGCTCTCGAATAAAGTTTATTAAGTATGACCAATCTCTAGAGTATTGGTCATGTGTAAAAATAAAGAGAAGGAAACTGTAATCAGGGAGATAGCGCAGATGACATTTTCAATATGCTACTTTAAAATATAATTACCAAAAGTTGCAGTTACGTCTTAAAAGTAGCATCTCAGAAATAGATTACCTTCTTATTTTTTATTTTTCTTCTGCTTTCTTATGCGTGTAAGCACGCTAGGAGTGTTTTTCTCCTATTTTCTTAGGGAATCTGAGTTGTCCCCGGGTGTTGCAAGACACCTGCAGGTCCTTGCAGGCAGCAGATGTCGGTCGGAGTGCAGAGAGGAGCGACAGAATCACGCACGGTGCAACAAGACTCGGGCAGCTCAGTTACCCTTGCGGAGAACTCTGCTAGCCTGAAGAATTGTTGCAAAAGTCTCTTTCCCACTTTCTAAATCTGGAGACAACCTCCTTGCTTTAAGTGAATCCACTTGCTTTCTCCATATCCCTCCAGCTGAGAAGTAGGCAATTTTATTAAGGCTGATACAGTTGCTAGTTGTAATAAAAGGTAGCTCAGGTGCATGGCACTGGTGCATTATTTAATCTTTTTAATCCTACCTTACTTTATTTTTGAAAAGCTAATTAAAAGATTCATGCACAATATCCTTTCACTAATAGAACCATATCGTTTAGAGAAATAAACAACATATCTCCCTACTTTCAGCTGGGCTTTTAACCTGCTCAACTTCTGTGAATTCGTGTAGATGCCACTTCTGGTCAGGATAGCTCATAATACAGTACTGCAGATTTTATATATTACATATATGTATGTATAAAAGATAGTCTTCTTCATTCTTGCCAGTCAATTCTTTGTTTTCTCAAGTTTGCATTTTCTTTCGATTATTACTTCTAAGATTATAGTGTTAAAACCAAAGCACCTCAACAAAACCCCAAACCCTC